TGGTGTCAATTCACCCAGTGCTTTTTGAGTTATGTTAATCCCACAAACTAACATTACACACATATATATATCTCTAGCCGTCCCCTGCCACACGGTGCTGTGGCCCACATAGGGGTTCTGTGTGGGAGATGCGGCCCAATTCTATCATTGGTGGGGTTCAGAATGCTCTGTGATTGTAGGTGAACTATAAATCCAAGCAACTACAACTCCCAAATGTCAAGATTCTATTTTCCCCAAACTCCACCAGTGTTCACATTTGGGCATATTGAGTATTCGTGTAGAGTTTGGTCCAGATCCGTCATTGTTTGAGTCCACAGTGCTCTCTGGAGGTAGGTGAACTACAACTCCAAAACCAAAGGACACTCCCCTCCAAACCCTTCCAGTATTTTCTGTTGGTCATGGGAGAACTGTGTGCCAAGTTGGTTCAGTTCCATTGTTGGTGGGGTTCAGAATGCTCTTTGATTGTAGGTGAACTATAAATCCCAGCAATTACAACTCCCAAAATGACAAAATCAAATTTTTTGAGTCAAGGACATACATTGGGTTGTTAGGTGTCTTGTGTCCAAATTTGGTGTCAATTCGTCCAGTGGTGTTTGAGTTCCGTTAATCCCAGAAACGAACATTACCTTTTTATTTATATAGATATGGCAAGTCAGGCCAATTTTATTTGTGTAGGGAAAGGAAATAGTAATGGCTTTTAGTTGTTCTGTTTCAGATGCAAGTCTGAAATGGGTAATTTGTCTATAATGAAATTGGTAATTATCAAACTGTTAATTATGAAAGAACCCAAAATACAATTGTGTTTAAATTAAAAATTGGTCTCAGTAGAAACATAACTGAAACACGAAGGGAGATCTCATTACTCCTCATAACTTTGCTTTTCAACTATAGTTAGAATATCAGAACACTTAGTTGGAATACTGGTGTAGTTAGGATATCACTAGAAACCTATTAGCACTCCTGCATTCTTCGCTGAGCTGAAACAACAAATGGACCATGAGAAATTTGCAAGCAGGCATGATTGATGTTTTACAGCATGGACTGCATTTGCTGTTTGTGTTTAAAGAAAAACTGAAAGCAAAATTGTCAACCCTTGAGAGAGAGAAAAAATAGAGACTTGTGCAGCTGTATATAGAGATCTAAGCCCAATTGCTAGTGTCAATCACACGAGATCCACTCAATCAGCTGCTAAATAGCAAGCAATAGGTAAATCCCTCTGATTTATTAGTTCTACTCTAGTTGGAATTGGCAATTAGAGTTAGGCCAAAGTAACTACTATACTGGTGTGGTATAGTGAATAGACTGCTGCACAAGGACACAGGATGACCAGGGTTTGGATCCTCATTTAGCTATGGAAACCCACTGAGTGTAATTGAACAAATTACACTCTCTCAGCCTCAGAGGAGAGCAAGGACAAACCCCCTCTGAACACATTCTGCCAAAAAAAACAACAACAACATCCCACTATATGGTAGTCTTAGGCCTTAAGTCCTCTATAAATCAGAAATGACTTGAAGGCACACAAATTTACATTTTGCTCACACCAAGTAAAATCAATTAATACCAATTCAAAGGAAAACAAGTCAAAACAAGTTTGGTGTGGAGTCCTAATATTCCCTATTATTCTCCTCTAAACTCCAGGGGACCTTACTTAAGGAAAGTAACAGTGCGTAGCTTTAGTGCTTCACTGCACAACAATCAAGACTGCCCTTGGATAGCGTACTGCCAAAGTGCTTTTTCTTTTTTGCACAACTGCATCCAAAGCATGATCTTTTACTACGTTGGGGTCCACCCTCTAAGTGCCTGTTAGATTCATCTGTTTCACTGGAAAGAGGTTGCTCGAGGCCTTGCTAAATGGCTGCATTGATATTTCCTATATTAGTAATGCTAATTATATCCTGGAAGCACCATCCAAATCTTTTCCATGACTTGTTGGAGAATGATACAAATATAGTAATGGCCCTCATTTCAGAAAATGTGGTAATCCCGTGTTTCTCAACCTGGGGGTCAGGAGGGGGTCATGAGGGGGTGTCAGAAGGGTTACCATAGATCCCCAGAAAACACAGTATTTTCTGTTGGTCATGGGGGTTCATTGTGGGAAGTTTGGCCCAATTCTATTGTTGGTAGGGTTCAGAATGCTCTTTGATTGTAGGTGAACTATAAATCCCAGTAACTACATCTCCCAAATATCAAGGTCTATTTTCTTCAAACTCCACCAGTGTCCACCTTTGGGCATATTGAGTATTCGTGCCAGGTTTGGTCCAGATCCATCATTGTTTGGAGTCTACAACTCCAAAACTCAAGATCAATGCTTACCAAACCCTTCCAGTATTTTCTGTTGGTCATTGGAGTTCGGTGTGCCAAGTTTGGTTTAATTCCATCGTTGGAGGAGTTCAGAATGCCCTTTGATTATGGGTTAATTATAAATCCCAGCAACGAGAACTCCCAAATGACAAAATTAATCCCCCCCAACCCCACCAGTATTCAAATTTGGGTGTATCGGGTATTTGTAAAATTTGGTCCAGTGAATGAAAATACATTCTGCATATCAGATATTTACATTACAATTCATAACAGTAGCAAAATTGCAGTTGTGATGTAGCAAAATTGCAGTTGTGATGTAGCAACAAAAAAAATTTTATGGTTGGGGGTCACCACAATATGAGGAACAGTATTAAGGGGTCACAGCATTAGGAAGGTTGAGAACCACTGCTGTAATCTCTTCCCAAGAAGGGCCATAGAATTAGAACAGAGTCTCACACCAGTGAAGATTTCTACTACAACAGGCTGGCCTTTGTACACGTGGATTAAGGGACTAGAGACCAGATTCTCAGCTATGCTAACAGATAACAAGTTGAGTTGCTGTGAATTTTTCAGGCTGTATGGCTATGTGGCAGTAGCATTTTCTCCTGACGTTTCACCTGTATCTATGGCAGGCATCCTCAGAGGTTGTGAAGTTTCTCCAGGCAGGAAGCAGCCAAGTCTTGAAACTGCAAAGCCATTCAATGCTAATTGCAGCATTCACACTTGCCTCAAAGAGACAAGTATTCTTTTCTCCCACCCTAGACATTCCACAGACATATAAACCCCAATTGCCTAGTTTCCAACAAACTTCACAACCTCTGAGGATGCCTGCCATAGATGCAGGCGGAACATCAGGAGAGAATGTTCAACATCTTTATTAATGACTTAGATGAAGGGTTAGAAGGCATGATCATCAAGTTTGCAGACGACACCAAATTGGGAGGGATAATCAATACTCCAGAGGACAGGAGCAGGATTCAACACCATCTTGACAGATTAGAGAGATGGGCCAAAACTAACAAAATGAAGTTCAACAGTGACAAATGCAAGATACTCCACTCAGGCAGAAAAAAATGAAATGCAAAGATACAGAATGGGGGATGCCTGGCTCGGCAGCAGTATGTGTGAAAAAGATCTTGGAGTCCTTGTGAACAGCAAGTTAAACATGAGCCAACAATGTCATGTGGCAGCAAAAAAAGCCAATGGGATTTTGGCCTGCATCAATAGGAGAATAGTGTCTAGATCCAGGGAACTCATGCTACCCCTCTATTCTGCTTTGGTTAGACCACACCTGGAATATTGTGTCCAATCCTGGGCACCACAATTGAAGAGAGATATTGACAAACTGGAATGTGTCCAGAGGAGAGCTACTAAAATGATCAAGAGTCTGGAGAACAAGCCCTATGAAGAGCAGCTTAAAGAGCTGGGCATCTTTAGCCTGAAGAAGAGAAGGCTGAGATATGATAGCCATGTATAAATATGTGAGAGGAAGTCACAGGGAGGAGGGAGCAAGCTTGTTTTCTGCTGCCCTGGAGACTAGGACACGGAACAATGGCTTCAAACTACAAGAAAGGAGATTCAATATGAACATTAGGAAGAACTTCCTGACTGTGAAAGCCGTTCAGCAGTGGAACTCTCAGCCCCAGAGTATGGTGGAGACTCCTTCTTTGGAAGCTTTTAAACAGAGGCTGGATGGCCATCTGTCAGGGGTGCTTTAAATGCAATATTCCTGCTTCTAGGCAGGGGGTTGGACTGGATGGCCCATGAGGTCTCTTCCAACTATATGATTCTATGATTTTTTTTTTGTCGTGTCAGGAGTGACTTGAGAAACTGCAAGTCGCTTCTGGTGTGAGAGAATTGGCCGTCTGCAAGGATGTTGCCCAGGGGACGTCTGGATGATTTGATGTTTTTATCATCCTTGTTGGAGGCTTCTCTCATGTCCCCGCATGAGGAGCTGGAGCTGACAGAGGGAGCTCATCCGCCTCATTCTATGAATGTTACTGGAACATGGCCATACCGCCCGAGAAACTCACAGTAATGTCATGAAGCCTTTGTCAACAGATAACAAGTTGTTGTGGCTTGTGGGTATCTCCTGCCCTTGACGTCATGCAAAGATGCATCACGATTCTGTGGATCTGCTTTGTAGTCGCACAGCTGCCATGCTCCTCCTGAGACATAATCCAGGGAGAAACTTTTCACCTGTTAGACCACTTCATAGTGGAGTATGGGATGTTGAACAGAGCCATTCTGGCAAGTCAGGGAAGGCATGCCAGGCCAAGAATAACAAGAAAGGAAGAGGGATACTGTTTTGTCAAAGGATGACTGCTCCCCTCCACCAAGCATGCCCCACCGCAAAGGCTCTGGCTACCCGGCTACTGACCTATCTATCAGTTTAATGGCCAAATTCCTGGAAAGGCTACAAAAAGAAATACTTTCCTATCATAAATCTGCCACACGCTCTGTTTAAGAGTGACCAAGATGTAAACCCAGAATGGCCAAATATAGGAATGCCTTTCAAGACCTCTTTTAAGAGGGAGGTGGACCCCACAAAGTTTCACCTCTGATCCAGCGAAGGGGGATCCAAGCACCATCATCCCCAGGCACAAGGAAAGGATGCGGGTGGAGATGGAGAAGAAAAGGATCAGGAGAAGGGTCCTCTCCATCTCCATGCAACAGATGGGAGGGAGCAAAGGTACCTTGGATTCCTGGCTGGTGGTGGAGGCAGGAGAAGGGGGCTGGTCGGGGCTCTCGGCGTCGTTGTCCTTCTCCCCCCCGTCCAGGCTGTCTTCACTGGCGTTGCTGGGAGGAATCATGGTGGAGGGGCGAGGGAGAGCTCACCCGGCTTAGGATTTCACGTGTTGGGCAGCCTCCATTCCGAAGGAGCCGAGCAACTCAGCTTGGACTTCTTCCTTGGAGAGTGAGCGTGGGGTTTCCTTTTTAAAAAAGCGACCGCCTCCCTGCCTCCCTCCTTCTCCTCCTCCTCCAAAGGCTGTTGAATTGATGATGCCTTTGCCTGTACGCGAAAATGAATGAGGATAGTGGAGGCGCAGGGAGGGGGATGCTGCTGTTGCTGTTGCTGCTGCTGCTTCGGGGGCGTCCTTAGCTTCCTGGCTGCCTTGGGGCTGGGAATGGGGAATGTGCCCGAGTAGAAAACCTGGGAGGAACACATGGAGGCGAAGGGGAGGAGCAAGGGCTGCCCTCGGAGGGGAGGAAGGAAAGCCCTGCCAACCCCCCCCCCCCCCCCGAGTGCATCAGGCTCCAGCATCAGCAGGACCTGTCCCCAGACTCCTACCAAAGGACCCACAGCCCTCTATCCACAAATCCCCAGTTTTTCCCAATCCAACGCTCCCTCTTTCCCATCCAGTGCTGGGTTCAGAGTGGCACACACACACACAGTCTTTATGAGCATACAACAAGAAAACTGACATACAACAAAGATATATATCTATATCTATATATCTATATCTATATACATAAAAATGTTCGTTTGTGGGATTAACATAACTCAAACTCAAAAACCACTAGACGAATTGCCACCAAATTTGAGTTATGTTAATCCCACAAACGAACATTACATTTATAGATATCATTTCTAAGCCAAAGAGCCGCCGTTGTCCGTAGACACCTCCAAGGTCATGTGGCTGACATGACTGCAAGGAGCGCCGTTAGCTTCCCGCCGGAGTGGTACCTATTGATCTACTCACATTTGTATTTTTTTTGAACTGCTAGGTTGGCAGAAGCTGGGGCTAACAGCGGGTGCTCAAGTTACCCTAAAACTTTACCTTCACACACACACACATAGGTAAGGTTTTCTCCTGACATTAAGTCTAGTCCTGTCCAACTCTGGGGGGGTGATGCTCATCTCCATTTCTAAGTCGAAGAACCAGCATTGTCCATAGACACCTCTATAGACACCTCCAAGGCCATGTGGCTGGCATGACTGCATGGAGCACTGTTACCTTCCCACCGGAGCGGTACCTATTGATCTACTCACATGTACATGTTGTTGAACTGCTAGGTTGCCAGAAGCTGGGGGTAACAGTGGGAGCACAGCCACTGACCTTTGAACCACTGACCTTTTAGTCTTCCCCCCAGGTGATTTTACAGGTCTGGCACAAGATCTCCACAAGGCTAAGATATATAATAAACTTCTGGACTGGGCCACAGAGACAGAGCTGGTTAGAGAATGTATGACTAAATGGGCACAAAACATCGGAAGAGAGATAAAACTGAGAGAATGGGAAAAACTGTGGACAAGAAAAAGTARATATACCTACTCAACAGACATGAGAGAGAACTGGACGAAGATGTTCTTCAGGTGGTACATGACCCCCCAAAAACTGAGCATAATGTACAAAAATTCCCAAAATAAATGCTGGAAATGTGAAACTCATGTGGGAACTTTCTTCCACRCTTGGTGGTCRTGTCCCAAAATGAAAACCTTCTGGAAAATGATACAAGAAGCCTGTGAAAAAATCTTCAAAACAAAAATCCAACTGAAGCCGGAATRCTTTCTGCTGGGYCTAACAGATGAAGAATTTGAAAAAGACCRAAACAAAGACATCCTTTTTACATACCTATCGACTGCTGCCAGAATGGTTRCAGCAAAGAAATGGAAACAAAAAGAAACAGCAACAAAAGATGAATGGTTAACTAAAATTCAAGAAATAAAAGAAGCGGACAAACTGACCTTCGCCCTAAAGGACTCTCATGGAAAACCGATCCTTAAGACAAACTGGAAAATAGTAGATCAATACATCAYGGAAGAACTCARTCTAGAATASCAACAAATACGAGGATGAACTAACAAATAAGAATGAGAATAAAAATAACGACAAAYAAACAAASAAAGAAAAGGAATRATATCAAGGGGAAAAGAAAGGRAACAAAATAAAACAAAACAAAAAAAATAATTAAGAGACCAAGGATAAGAGCAACAAGGAAGAGAAAGAAATGAAAAAGAAAGATATCATGAGTCCAAGATAAAATACAAGTGTTAGGGGAATACACTACACAAACAAGAAAACTATACTGGTTTCCGAAAGAAGAGGTTTGGAAGTCGAAGAACTCTACTTTTTACTACCCCTTTTTCCTTTGCTTCCTATCCTCTCCCCACACTACCACCTCCCCCCCCCACATCTCTCTTCCTATCGCTATTTCCTTTTCCTTTTCCCCCTTACCTCTCTTCCCCCCTCCCCACTCTCCAAATCCCTTTTCCCAGATTTCTATACTTTTATAGACTGTTTTTATGTACAATTAAAGAGAAAATGTATTCAATTAAAAAAAAAAGATCTCCACAAGGCCCTGAAACTACTATAATTGTGGAAGGGTTCTTCACAGGTAACAGGTCCTGAATCATTGCTCCCTTTTTATGTCAGTTCTTGTCAGCTACAGTGGACAATAGTTTCCACAATTTCTTTCTGTTTTCTTCTGCTTTCTTCTTATTTCCTTGATCATGATGACAGGGTTAACATCAGGACTTTTTCCACTGTGAATTAGCAAGAAGGTGATTCATTTGGAGATTGCAGGACAACAAGAACAACAACAACAACAACAAAACTTTATTTATACCCCGCCACCATCTCCTCAAAGGGGACTCGGGGCAGCTTACATGAGGCCTAGCCCAATAGGGCATTACAACAGAATAAAACCAAAACACAGAAAAAACATCACAATAAAAAAATAAGAATACAATAAAACAGTGTAAAAATACAGTGATAAATATTGACCACATGGATGGCCAAAGAAAGGATGGATGGACACCATCAACAAAGACATTAGTGCTACCAACCTGAGACCTGAGGATGCCCAAAACAAAGCCCTGTGGATATGGCAGCCACAATGCTAACCCCTCCATTGGGAAAATAGCTTGCAAAGAAGAATAAAAATTAAATACACAGCAGGCTATTTCAAGAAGAATTGGAAATTGAAATGGGGAATTTTGCTAGCTGGAGTAAAGGAAAAAGAAAATGTAAAGAACTGAATCAAGCTCTCTTCACGATTGATCAATTAAGATAACACTTGAATTGACAACTGTTCCTGGAGGGTGGAGGTGAGAGGGAGAGGGAGGGGAGAAAAACTGTTGGGCACAAGTGGGAGATAAGTGTGGAATTGGAAAGGTTAAGAAAATATGTAGGACATATCACATTGAGAGAAAATGTAAGTGGAATAGCATCATCTGTTCTATTTATTAACCTTGTGGGATTGTTATTGAGATTTGTATCATTCTACTTATGTTAATAATAATCCCATCAATCCACGTTTCTGTCTTTCTGAAGCACCCCTTTCTTCTTCGGAATAATTCCGAAATTAGTTCCTTTCATTTCCATGGGTCTCCTTTAGGGAACTAGGGTGAAGTGTTTTGGATTCAGCCCAGAGTTTATGGCAGAGCTTTCCAAACTGTGTTGCAACATGTTAGTGCATAGGCATATTGCACTAACATAACAAGAAATGTCTAAGTCTGTGTGAAATAAATAACAAAACATAAATATAATCAAAAAGTTTTCTTGAGTTATGTTGGGTCCCCATGTATTGTGTAATTGTGATCTATGTATATGTATGATCCATGGAGTGCCATGGAACCCATCACACGACGCAGGGCAATTTCCAGTGGGATTTTGTGGGGTTCCATTTTGGTAGTGGAGAGGAAATGGAGTCCAGAGAAATACCTGACTCCTCACTGAAGAAAGTGTAGCAGGAAAATATGGATCTGAGGGGGGAAAACAATGTTGGCAGACAGAAGATGGACCCCGACGGGAGAGAACAGAGCCTAACTGTTCCCTCTGCTGTCCCACACCTTCCCATGTTTGGAAATGTTTGGAAAGCTCTGGTCTATGGAAAACATGATAATGTGTTCCCATATATTTATATATGTGTGTATATTGAGCAAAGCAGAAATAAACATCCATGTGGTACAGGTTGAGCATCCCTTATTTGGAACTGCTAAATCCAAAATACTCTAAAGTCTAAAATTTGTCCACAATGGTGACTGAGATAGTGACACATTTGCCTTACAATGATTCAATGGACATGTAGAAATATATTTAAAAATATCGGGTGACGTTAATTTCAGGCTATGTGTCTGAAGTGTATAGGAACCATAAATTTAGACTTGCGTCCCATCTCCAAGATCCCTTGTATATGTATGTATATACTAATGCATATATTCCAGAATCCACCCCCCCCCCCAAAAAAACCCTCCAAAACCAAAATAAAAGGTAATGATTTGAACAGTTTTTAGCATTTAGAGAGAGCAATTTATGGGAAGTTTTTCAGATTTAAATGGGACTTATTCTTCAGTAATACATAGAATAGTAGAATCATAGATTTGGAAGAGATCACAAGGGCTATCCAATCCATCCCCCTGCCATTTCAGGGAATGCACAACGGCTCTAGACAAATGACCATCCACGCCCTGTTTAAAAACTCCCGAGAAGGAGACTCCATCACACTCTGAGGCAGCATATTTCACTGCCAAACAGCACTTATGGCCAGGATGTTTTTCCTAAAGTGTAGGTGGAATCTCTCTTTGCATAGTTTGAATCCATACCCTATTATCTGGAGCAGCAGAAAGCAGACCTGATACGTCACCAACATTGTATCTTTTCAAATATTTTAACATGGCTACTTGCCACCTGTTAACTTTCTCTATTTCAGGCTGAACATACCAGCTCCTTAAGCAGCTTCTCATAGGAATTTCATCCAGACCTTTTACAATTTTGGTAACCCTTCTCTGGACACATTCCAACTAAGTCACCAGATTTGCTTGGAGCAAACATACATTGGACATGGTAACATAGTGAAAAGGGTCCATCTGTATATGTTCCACATATATACATTAATTCTTTTGAAAAATTCCTACCTTTATGCCCAGCACCCAAAATAATTAATTCATTTACTAGTTACATTTTCTTCAGTCAAAGTAGTGCACATGCTTTGCTTCTGTTTATACCCTTAACAACTACATAAAATGGAAAATTTGAAAGAGATCAACCAATGAGTTTTGTGTTGCTGAATGTGCATTTCCAAGGTCCTAGTGTGCATTACATGCTTTCTGAATCATGCACAAATTAACATTATTGATGGCTTGATTGCCCATTATTGTGGCTTTGTTCCTTCAAATCAATTTTGACGCATGGTCTAATGTTGACCGTAAGGTGACCCGA